CTTCAGTAATTGAAGGATAATGTAAGTGGGTCACACCCAGAGGCAAGCAGGAAAATCTGGTAGAATGAAAGGCATTAATTACACATTATACTTGTCTAGTTTGGAGCAGTAACATAGAATAGATTTTAGTTGATACTCAATGTTAGTTCCCAGTGATTTAATATATAAGGGAGTGTTTTGTGGGGATAAGAGAGTGAAAATGTATTTTGGGGTTTGTATAAGGAAAATAGTAAGACATATTCTTAGAAGTCAAACATCAGATTAATTTTTCCCAGATACATTAGTCCTTGAGTTTTTTAGTGATAAGATAAAAAATTGGGGAGTATTAACTATCATTGAGGTTTTTGTATAAGTTCCACCTCAGTAATATATTGTAATTTGTTTTCTTGTTTTTCTTGATTTTAGAGAGGGAGAGGAAGAGAGAGATAGAAACATCAATAATGAGAGAGAATCATGGATTGGCTGCCTCCTGTATGCCTCATACTGGAGATTGAGCCAACAATCCAGGCATGTGCCTGTCCGGGAATTGAACCCTTACCTTCCTGGTTCATAAGTCTCATAGGTTGAGGCTCAACTGTTGAGCCACTTGGCAGGGCTATAATTTATCTTCTTCATGGAATGACCAATTATAGCATGAGCAGTGGGCCACAGTGGCAACACTGATGGCCCTGATGGGACCTCAGTCCCATGGCCCTGATGGCGGAGCAGGTGAGCAGGTGGTGCCAGGCCAAGGTGGGTGCAAGCAGAGTCCAATTGCCCTGCACATGGCAACCAGCAGCAGGGGACTCAGTGACTCAGGCAGAGGGAGGCACACTGGGGCCCTGGAAACCCAGGTGCTGCCCAGGGCCCAGAAGCCAGCTGGAACAAGCCATCCATGCAGATGCTTGGCCAGGCCTAGGGACCTCAGCTGTGCTTGAATTCATGCACCGGGCCTTTAGTATGGTTTATAAACAAACTAAACTTATAAATCTTACTTTTAGGAAAAATAAAGATCTGAATAATAATAAAGAAAAGTAAACCAGTAATATTTATTACTTTGAAAAATATATATTTCACCCATCTCAACTAAAGGGAGTTTATTATGCTTTCATTATGACCAGGCACTTATTTGATGAGTATGTTGGGGCTGATATACAAAATCACGAATATTTTAAAATACTGAAAATTACAGTTTAAATATTTATAATAATTTTTTTGGTGTTTCTCTATGAGTAGAGTATAATTCATAGGTTTAAACAATAAAAAAAGGGAATTTTTAAGATAACAAAGAGAGACCTCAGAAGTTTAATATATATATTTAAAATTTGAAATGTTTTATGCTTTATATATTGCTGAAAAAAATTGTCAGTAAACCCATCTCTCTTTGAATATACTTTAGATTTTTCCATATATTTGTGTTTCTTTCTCTCTGTGTATGTTATATATCCTATATAATAAAGATGTAATATGCAAATTGACCCTTATACCCTCACACAAGATGGCCACCACCATATGGTCAAAAATGGCCACCACAAGATGGCCGGAAGGGGAGGGTAGTTGTGGGTGATCAGGCCAGCATGGAAGGAGAGCTGGGGGCAACTAGGCCAGCAGGGGAGGGCAGTTGGGGGGGACCAGGCCTGTAGGGGAGGGAGGGCAATTAGGGGGACCAGGCCTGTAGGAGAGGTCAATTTTGAGGGGGGGGGGAAGGAGCAAGCCTGCAGGAGAGAGCTGTTAGGGGTGACAGGCCAGCAGGGAAGGGCAGTTAGGGGTGACCAGGGCATCAGGGGAGGGCAGTTGGGGGGGGGGTCCAGGCCTGCAGGGGTGGACAGTTGGTGTGACCAGGCCAGCAGGGGAAGATAGTTAGGGGTGGCCAGGCCTGAAGGAGAGGACAGGGGGGAGAGGACCAGGCCTGCAGGGAGGGCAGTTTGGGGCAATTGTGTTGATAGGGGAGCAGTTAGGCATTGATCAGACTGGCAGGCAGCCTAATGGTTGGGGGCCAGCAGTCCTGGATTGTGAGAGGGATGTCCAACTGCCTGTTTGGCAATTAGACATCTCCCAAGGGGTCACAGATTGGAGAGGGTGCAGGCTGGCCTGAGGGATACTCTCCTCCCCAAGTGTATGAATTTCATGCACTGAGCCTCCAGTATATATACACTGAGTGGCCAGATTATTATGATCTCTAAATGCATAATAATCTGGCCACTCAGTGTATACATATATATTAGAGGGGCTGGTACATGAATTCATGCATGGGTGGGGTTAGGCCAGTTTGGCCAGAGGGAGGGGACACGGGTGGTTGGTCGGCCTGCCTGTTGGTCAAACTCTGTTCGAGAGGACAATTTGCATATTAGCCTTTTATTATATAGGATATACACTGTGGCCAGATTATTATGCATTCAGAAATAATATTTGTCACTCAGTGTATATGCTAATAAATAATAAAGGGAAATATATTAATTTAATTGATATTTTATGTATAAAAAGATAAAAAGGTGTAGAATAACAGGTTACATATAGTTTAATATGCTAGTGACATATTAGCATGTACTAATATATACAAATACATGCCAATATAAGCATATACACTATATTACTTTAATTGGGAGGTGGATATCGGCATACTAATTGGATTAGTCCTTCTTTGTTGTTTTTGTGCTTTTCCTGAGAATGAGCTATTTACATAAAATTTCCATTTTAATACTAGAAAGACAATGGAACTTATTTAGCCTAGACAGTACATTTGTCTGAGCACCTATTATGAGCTAGTCACTGCCCTAAGAACTGAGATAAACATGATGAACATTGTCTTTGACCTGATGGAGCTTATAGTGAAGTCGGAATAGACACTAAATGAATGACCACATGTATAGTCTCCATAGGCTCTATAGTCATGTTGATGACAGAATGTTATAAAAGGAAAGAACAATTTTTCTATGAGAGAATGTGAAAAGGGCATTAATGTGGTGGGGGAAAGGGTCACAGAGGTCCTAAATGACAGGTGAACTGCTCTCAAAGGAAGAGTGGGAGTTAGCCAGGTAAAAGGGAGAGGTAGGTGTTCTATGTTGAGGGGCTGCATGTGCTAAGGACTTGTTGGACTGTTTATAGACTAGAAGAAGAAGAGAGGGTAAAGGAATTAAATTTATGTAACATTTAGCATGATCCAGGTAATTGATTTTAGGATAGTGGCAACCCAAGGTTCTGGATAATTTATTAATTCATGAAAGCAATCTGTGTCAGGTACGGGAGATGCAGAAGGAAATGAAATGTAGTTGATGTTCTGGGAGAGCCTTTAGTAGAGTAGGGTAAGGAAACTTCTAAACAAGTGAAAGCAATGCAATATTTACTATTCAAATAAATTCAAATACCTAAAAGACGCTATGGAAACATCAAAATAGAAACAGTGAATTCTGCTGGGAGTGTCAAGGAAAACTTGTGAAGGAGGTATTGCTTGAGCCAAGTGCAGAAGGATGAATAAGCTTCCTCCTAGAGGCAGAAGATGAAAGCTACTTTTGGTTGGTGCCCTAGCAAATGCCGAAGTACGGATTCAGGAAAGAAGCAAACACTTGACTGCAAAGATGGGAAGGAAAAGTGAAGCTGAAGGAGTAACCAGAAGTTGGATGAGAATGAACATAATTTGCCTTCTTGTAAACTTTTATTTTATGCCTAGGAAATAGGAAGCCAGTTGAGGATTTAAAGTAAGGAAACTTGTGTTTTCTAAAGAACCAAGAGGCTATAGTACTGTGAAGGGATAACTGGAAAGGCAAAACAAATGCAGTGGCATTGGGAAATAAGGGTTCTTTCTGATAGCCAGAAAGCAGCATACTTTTTAAAATAAGGTAGAATTAAGAAAAATACAAATATTATAACAATATAAGAAAAAAGAAACAACATGAGTAAATTTTAAAATCTTTTATTTTTCCAAAGAATAAAAAAGGTTCTATAAAACAATGACACCCACAGTTAAAAAGTACAATTTTAACATAGTAAATGTGATGCATCTATAATTCTTTTATAACAAAATTGCCAACCCTTAAAAGATACAACCTAAGCATCTACAAATCTTAGCAGTGCTGTATATTTATTGAAAACTAAATTATGATTTTATATTCAAATAGCTCAGATATATTTTCAAAAATTTCTGAGTCCAGATTATTGTTTTCCTTATTCTTAAAAATATTAAAAATAACATATTCATAAAGAAACTAGCAATAAGGAATTTACCTATTTCCTAGCTTCTTCATCCAAAGAAACTATTTAGTGATTAAAATTATAGTACTCATAATAAAATAGTTAATAAATACAATATAAAAGACAAAACTCAACGAGTAAGTCATGACATTATGCCATACTAAGAAGACATCATATGTCTAAAGTTATAGGAAAATAATATATTACTCCTTATAGAATTTAAAAATTTCAAAATTCTAAATAAGGAAATATATTCTACACTGATGGCTGTATGATATATTTCAAGCTAGTGCCCAGCTTTCTAGTGCAATATAATTGAAATAGGATCCCAGGGTAAAGAGTAAGGAAATTCTCTAATTTCAAGAATTAATACTAAATAGTTACAATTTCATGAGAAGACTGGGGATTACAGAATATCTTCATGTATAGCATTCTAGAGAAAGGTCATTCACCTTTAAATCTGCAGCCTTTTCAATCATGTTCTAAGGAACATATCCTAGAAATAAGCCAGTCACCTTGAAAGAGTAACAACCAGTGATTCTGGATTCACTATTTAGTCAATTAACAAATATTTCAATAGCATAGAAGATAAAATAGCAGCAAAATATATAGCAGTAAATACTATGTAAAACACTTCATAAGATGAGCAGAAAGCTGCAAGGATAAACATAGGTCCCTTGTCCCATCCATCTCTTCAATTGGGGGATTCATGAGGAAACCTCACTCATTGGAGAAAATTAGCCCTTGCTTTTTGGCTTCACTGGGTCCAGAGGTCCCCGAAAAACTGCTCTGGTGAAGAACTAGCCAGTTTTCTCAAAGCACGATCCTTTCTCTTAATTTTTCTGCTTTCCACTGTTGAGGGAAAAAAAAAAGTATCAATTTAACCAAATTTCCACACTCTGGTGTACTCCAACTAGTTTTCAAAACACAGAACTTAAGATCAATAAAGAGCTAAGGGTGGACTCAAGGTCTAAGCTAACAAAATATATGCATCATAGTCAAGAGTTCTGGGCGACCACTTGGGTGATTACATGGAAGACTGGTGATAAAGATTCTCCCTGAACATTCTGGAACAACTTTCCCTTTTCTCCTGAACAACCTTTTAAAGAATGGTCTGGGATGTGGTAGCCAAACCTATGCATAGAATAAGGACCTTGAACAGGCTACACACTCCAAGAGAAAATTAAAAACCATGAAGATCAAAGCCACAGGTACCTGTTCAAGATTTTCTGAATGATTTTCTTGACCACAGGGGCTTCTGGGTCCAGACAGACTTTGCTCCCCTTCACCAAGGTGGCTCTGAAGAAAAAAAAGAGGAAAAAAAAATGAAGAGGGGGGGGGGGGGATGCATCCATGAGCCACAGGAGCTGAAGACCCAGGCCAAGGTCACAGTGGACACCGCAGTGCACTAAGACTTACATAATTTCCACATTGGGGCACCCTGGACCTGCGGCGGACACCTCCACGTGGGTGATCATTTTGGGATGAATCTTGTGGATGAGGGTTAAACACACACAGCGCAGCTCGTTCACGACGGCCCTGGGAGGACCAGCTGGGGCAGAAAGAGAGACTCTGTTAAGGGGGCAGGTTGCTGAGAAAACAACTCCCTGCGCTCCCCATGCTGAAGCCGCTGCAGCAGAGGCTGGGCGCATGGCTCTGCCCCGTGCGCCCCTGGCTGTGGGCACTCACCGCTGGCCAGTGGCGCTGGCAGCGTCAGCAGCAGCAGCAGCAGCGGGAGCAGCGGGAGCAGCGATCCGAATGGGCCAGGGAGGCGGGCGGCTCGGCTTGGCAGGAGACTCATAGCGGCGAGGAGGCAGCGGCAAGAGGGCGCGGATTCTGCAAAGGAGAAGGGAGGTGCAGGGATTTGAAACTCCAGCTGCACTGTGGAGTCCCCAAGCCCAGCGCATCCTTTTATTGGCATTCGCACCCTCCTCCAGGCAGGAAACTCAAAGCTTTGGGACGCTTGGGGAAAATCCCTGGGCTGAGGGGGCGGGGGGTAAGAGGTTTGAGGGAGGAAATGGGCAGTGAGAGCTGGGCAGGGGGGTCACAGGGAGGAGCTGCGCGCACGCCATCCGTGGAGCATGTGGTAACGTGGTCCCGCGTGAATGGAGCTGCAGCAGAGGGGCAATCGCGCGGAGATTTCATCTGTGGGGCCAGCCAGGGCTGGCGAAGACCAGCCTCTGGGGAGCAGAGCCCCCTAGGAGGTGCACCTCATCCCCATGTAAAGAGGAGGACTGGAACCAAAGTAGCAGGAGGTTTGACTTTAGAAAAATGCCTCCTCCTCCTTAACTCCAATGCGTTATCAAGACCTGCAAGCCCGGATCAGAACTGCGCGGCGCTGAGAGTTCCGCCTCCTCCTCGCAGGCGAGCCAGGCTTGGGTTCTCAAGTTAGTTTATTTTCTTTGAACTTCAGCCAGCCGTAGAAGGCAAGATAATACGGTTCAAGTGACTGTACCCCCACTTTAACCCCGTGGCAAGAACAGGCTGGCACATCAAGTCTGCTTACTGGAAACCTTATACTTGTAGTTTAGCAAGCATATTGCCCTGCAGATGATACCTTGCTCTCTGCAGTTCAGTATACACTGGTGAGTTGGAAGAGGTATGTTCTTCGTCTGGGGTAGGGTGAGGTGTGTGAGGGTGACAGCAAGGCCAGGGAGACCCAGCCTGCTCTCGCGATGGCTCCTCAGCCATTGACCCAGTTTGGAGAAGCTGTGGGACGCTGATGGGTTTGAGGGGCTCATCATGAAGTTTGGTCAAGGGATTTGAATCAATTTGGCAGCAAGACAGCACCCACTCTGGCTTCACTCAAACAAGTTCATGTAAGGGGAAGGTGATTCAGACACACACACTTCTGGAACGAACTGACTTCATGATCAGTAGGGTGACTATGGCCGTTTCAGCATGCCTGATCTGGTCTGGAGTGAATCCCTAAATCGGAGGGGCAAGCTAACATCCCAATTTCTCTGCCTCACCGCACTCTCTCTGTTATCTGTGGAAGTAGATGGAACACTGGAGGTTTGATGGCCTAGTCCTTGACAGTTCTAAACCCAGGGCATGCACGGCTATGATATTGAATAGCACGCTGGCTTTCTCTCATGAAAGTCTTACTGGATATACTCTCTTGGATTGTTCTCAAGATCCTTGTTCTCACAGTAGTTCAGCAAAGGCAGCCAGTGAATATAATGGCATCAGAAACCAGTCATGGAACAAAATTCTTTCCCTTGTGCCTGGTGACCTTATTCAACTCTTCTACTCATCTTCCTTGGCAGGACATGACCTCCATTGCTGATCAAGGAGGAAGTGACATAGGTCTTCAGGACATCTAGTCGGGAAGGAAACTCAAGAAATTCTCCAGTCAAGGAAGGCTGAGAGGTTTGGTCTCGCTTTGTGGGAAGCTGAACGGGAAGGTGTCTCTCCTGAACAGCTTCCCGATACAATCGGCCTCCTATCTGACTCAGCTATTGCAATCCTTCATCCTTCTGGGGAGTGGCAATCTAGAAAAACAGCCTACCACTTTATTATGTTAACTTTTTAGAGATTAGGATGCATCTACAGACAACAGGTAAACCTCACTAATGTGGATAAGACCTCAAAAATGTGACTAAAAATCGTGGATGATTAACTTCAACCTAACCATAGGAAATAAACCACAGTATAATAAGACTTTGTGAGGAAAAAAAAAAAGTTTGATGACATAGATTATTGAATCTTAATGTGTGTGTGTGTGTGTGTGTGTGTGTGTGTGTGTTTGAGTGAGTTCCAAATAACCTATTTTAAATATAAGTGAACATATGAGTTAGCTTTGGCACTAAATGTTAAGATCACAGAAGGGTCATGAGAAGTTATTTCCAGTTCCTCTTGACACTCTTATAGCTATCATGCTTTACCTCATTGCCACTCTGCACAAACAACATGCATTGTTTGCAGCATATAAAGAAAACATTTTTTTTAATAGCTGGCAAGCAGATAATAGAAAATCCCCACCAGAAGTGGGCTGTTAGATTGCCCAACTTAATCAGGAAGCACACTGTAACTTAACCTGGGTTCTCATTGAAATCATTCTGGCCCATGGCCCTTGCCTGACTCTTGTCTAGGCATCTCTAATGTGGGTCTTGTGCAAAGACAGATAGGATTATGAATAATCTGAGACTCCCTGCAGTTAAGGATGACAGCACCAAGTACCACTAGGAGGCAGAGCTATTTAAAGGGAAGCCAGTTGCCTTACCTGCACTGTGTCCAGGTAATAAAGAACAGCACAGTGATCTTTTTGTACCACGCTAAACAAAACGATCCATAATATGACACTGATATCTGGAGAAGCTGGAATGAATTACTGTTGGTCAAAACATTAAGAATTTAGTCATAACACTACAGAGTTATGTAATACAAATTAAAACATTCTTGATGTTTTGCAGCTTCCAAAACATTTCATGCTCATTTGCTTTTGAGTTGTATATTGATGCTTTTTGGAAGATAAGAAAAATTCTCCCATCCTCTTTTTGCAGCTAGGGAAAGGAAGGCCAGAGAAAGAGTTAAGAAGTAGAAAATCCAAGACTGAAAGTCAAGTCACGAGAGAATCTGCCACAATAAATTTTTAATGATTTTCAGATTACAAACCACTTTCTTCACAGTCACTGGCAAACATCCACGGCCCCACGCATCTGGTTAACCACTTTAGTTGTATTGCCCAATTATCATATTTTAAGCTGTTGAAATCCTCAGTCTCTCTACTCTTGGCCTTTGAGGCCAAAATGATGTCAAAAGTCTAAGAGTCTTTCAGATTAACCAGTCTGACACTGTTACCTACTTTTTAAACCTCTCTCTTCCAGAATAGTACAAAGTCCTGTCCTTTTTGTGAAGTTTTATTCTGACAAAACCAGATGAAATATACTGCTTCTACCTTTGATCTTTGAACATGAATGTACTTGCAATAGCTATCTAATGAAACAGAGTTAAATTGTTACTTAATTTTGCCGAAGCCGGTTTGGCTCAGTGGTAGAGCGTTGGTCTGAGGACTGAAGGGTCCCAGGTTCGATTCAGGTCAAGGGCATGTACGTTGGTTGCAGGCACATCCCCGGTGGGGGGTGTGCAGGAGGCGGCTGGTAGATGTTTCTCTCTCATAGATGTTTCTAGCTCTCTATCTCTCTCCCTTCCTCTCTGTAAAAAAATCAATAAAATATATATAAAAAATGAAAAGTAAATTGTTACTTAATTTCACTTTTGTTTCCCTCAAGCCAACTATAGACTCTTTAGAGTCAGTGGTGGTATCTTATATTTCTCACATAACCTCCGATGAATTTCAAGTTCAATAGTGAGTAGTCTATAAACAGTTGATGACAGTAACGATAAGATTTTATCTTGCAGTGTCTTTAAATTACAAGTGAATCTTAAAGCCATGGAGGAAAGAATAGGACTGTATTCTGTCCCATTGGTTTTCTCCTATGTTGGAAATTGTTTCCTGGTTATTCTTAGGGCCAGTTTAAGTTATATTTTCAGTATTTAAATCTGAACTATTAAAAAAAATATTCAGAGACCAGAAGAAAATTTAATATTAAAAATTACACAACTAAAGTATCAATCAAATTACATATTTTCTGGGACTTAGAGATTAGTGAAAATAAATGACCAGGGAAAATTCTGATTAAGTTATACTGTCCTGAATGTTAGCAGTGTAATGTTATTCTAAATTTGTCTCTTCTAACAAATCAGAGAGCTCTTTACTTATGTGTTCAGTATATGGCCTCAGCCTTTTAAAACATTTTTCTAAGTTTCCATTTTCCTTTATGTCTAATACTTTTTATAGTACATTTAAGAAATGCTATATGATTGCAGTAAAGATGTAGATATTATCATTATCAAAATATCAGCATAAGAGCTTATCCACAAGAGTTTAAGTGGAAGATAGAATTACTTGCTTGCACAAGAAAAGAAAAAAAATCATTTGTTTACTCTTGGGTTAACTTTGTGTTAGCAATGTAGTCTCCTTTCACATTGGGCTTGAATTCCAATGAATAGGCAACATTATTAGGTAATAGTTTTGCTTCAAAATCGCCCAGATTTACTGTAAAATGTCAGGAATGTATTCCCTCCTTTTGTCCATTATCTTTTCCTCCCTGCTCATTTCAGAATAAATCTGTTTGAAAAGGAAGTAAATGGATGTATCTTGATTGAGTGCAAACTGAGGTAGGCTGCAAGTAACCCTGAGGTAGTTAGGTATAGCCTATTCCCATGGTTGGCAAACTGCGGCTCACGAGCCACTTGAGGCTCTTTGGCCGCTTGAGTGTGGCTCTTCCACAAAATATCATGTTCTGGGCGACTCTATTTTGAAGAAGTGGCATTAGAAGAAGTTTAAGTTTAAACAAATTGACTCTCAAAAGAAATTTCAGTCTTTGTACTGTTGATATTTGGCTTTGTTGACTAATGAGTTTGCAGATCACGATCACTGTCTTATTCAGCTGAGCAAGAATGGTGAATAATCTAAGACTCCCTGCAGTTAAGAATGACAGCCCCAAGTACCATTAGGAAGCAGAGCTATTTAAAGGGAAACCAAGGAATGTTGACAAGGGATAATACGTAGAAGAAAAAAAAAGGGCACTAAAGTTTTAAATGTTTCAGAAAGCCTTGGGTTTCTCAGAAATAGAAAGCTTTCATTGCTTTCTTCAGAAATTTGGTCTGGGCTAAGTAAAAAGAAATCTTTGTTGAGATTTACTTTAGAGTGATCCCACTGATATTTCAAATACTCACTTGACCCCCTCGTTAGTTACTACAATATTATTGACCATATCCCCTGTGCTGTAATTA